TGTCCCCTGAGACCCTGATCCCCCTGTCCCCTTGGTCCCTAGTCTCCCTGTCCTCTTGTTCCCCCTGTCCCCTTTGTCCCCATGTCCCCTTTGTCCCCATGTCCCCTTGGCCCTCCTGTCCCCTGGAACCCTGGTCCCCATGGTCCTTGGTCCCCTTGGTCCCCATGTCCCCTGGGACCCTGCTGCCCCTGTCCCCTTGGTCTCTGGTCCCCAGGTCCCCTTGGTGTCCATGTCCCCTTGGTCCCTGGTCTCCCTGTCCTTTTGTTCTCCCTGTCCCCGTGTCCCCATTGTCCCCGTGTCACCTTGGTCCCCCTGTCCCCATGTTCCCTGGGACTCTGCTGCTCCTCCCCCCGTGGTCCTTGGTCCCCCTGTCCCCTTGGTCCCTGGTCCCCCTGTCCCCTTGGTTCGTGGTCCCCAAGGTCCCTGGTCCCCCTGTCCCCGTGGTTGCCCTGTCCCCATGGTCCCTGGTCCCCATGACTCCCTGGTCCCCTTGTCCCCATGTCCTCTTGGTCCCCCTGTCCCCAGGGACCCTGGTCCCCCGGTCCCCTTGGTCCCTGGTCCCCATGAGTCCCTGGTCCCCCTGTCCCCTTGGTCCCTGGTCCCCAGGTCCTCATGTCCCCTGAGAACCTGATCCCCCTGTCCCCTTGGTCCCTGGTTCCCCTGTCCCCACGGTCCCTGGTCCCCATGACTCCCTGGTCCCCTTTGTCCCTGGTTCCCATGTCCCCTTGGTCCCCCTGTCCCCAGGGACCCTGGTCTCCCTGTCCTCTTGTTCCCCCTGTCCCCTTTGTCCCCATGTCCCCTTTGTCCCCATGTCCCCTTGGCCCTCCTGTCCCCTGGGACCCTGCTGCCCCTGTCCACTTGCTCCTTGGTCCCAGCTCCCCATGTCCTCTTGGTCCCTGGTCCCCATAAGTCCCCAGTCCCCATGTCCCCTTGGTCCCAGCTCCCCATGTTCCCTTGGTCCTTGGTCCCCATGAGTCCCCTTGTCCCCTTGGTCCCAGCTCCCCATGTCCCCTTCGTCCCCATGAGTCCCTGGTCCCCCTGCCCCCTTGGTCCCCCTTTCCCACGTTCCCTTGGTCCCCAGCCCCCATGTCCCCTGTGTCCCCATACCTGGGGGTCCCCACGGACGATGCCACCTGCTGCAGGTGGAGCAGGAGACCTTTGGATCCAGCGGGGCTGGGGACAAGGGGGGGACAGCAGGGGATGGGGACATGGGGAAGGAGGGTGAGGGTCAGCAGGAGCTGGGGGTGGGGACACCAAAGGATGGGGACACCACAAACTAGGGTGGGGGACACCAGATGCCAAGATGGGGACACAGAGAAGGGATGGGGACACCACAAACCAGGGTGGGGACACTGAGAGATGGGGTGGGGACACCAGAGGGCAGGGATGGGGACACCAGGAGCTGGGATGGGGACACT